AATATAATATAATTAATATAATATATAGATATAAGTTCCTCATCACTCTTTTTTGAAGGCTTCGCGTAGTTTTGGGGGGTCAGACCTCCATCCCCAGGCTCCGACTCTGCAGCAAAAGCCGTAATATAGGGGCCTTAGCAGTTACCTGTATTAATTACTGTGGGGGTTCCTTGTTGTAGGTATAGTATCATGTACCCCAAAACTCTATTCTCATGGTCGAGGCCCCTGTATTGGACGCGATTCCCCGCCTCTTCAACTCCAAGCATTCGGCCCTGTGTGCTTCCGGAGGTCTTGATCAATGCGGCTGCAAAGGCGAAAGACCTCGACTTGATAGGAGGGAAATTCCCGCCGACGGGCCCGGAAACGTGGTTTTGGGCTCTAGGTGTAAGCATGGGGGCTAGAGGCCTTTGGGGTTAAGGGTTTGGGGTCGGCTCTCTGGAGAAATTAATAGGGTTTACCACGTGGACTCGGGACCTGCGTTGAAGCAAGCAGGTAGGCTTCTCGTCATTGCACTGGTTTTTGCGCCTACTGTCGCGACGGGTATACTTCCACAGTTCTGTGACCCTTCGCACTTCCTTGCCTGGGCGATCATTCGGAATACCACCTCAACAAAACCCGAAAGCTCGAAATTTGAAATGGCTTCAACTGCGGGTTTTGAACCCAAAGCTCCCTGAACCCTGAACCCGGAATCCGTGGCTTGCTTTCGGCTAGAGGAGTTCTATTGATTCTATCGGGGCTTCATAGATTTCGGGCTGTTGCCCTCAAGATTTCAGATGATGTTAGGGTTTCCGGTCTCGGGATACACATTGCGTCAATGCGGGTCAAGGGGTTGCGAGGGCGTGATGGACTTTTGTACCACGGCTGTGCTGGTTCGGACCCTGTTCCCAGAAAGCCTAGCTGCGAGGCTTCTTGTTTTTGGCTTTGCGGTTCTGACACCCTAAGTACGCGCCTTAATCCTAAACCCAAACCCCTGATTAGCCCATACAAGACCCTGAAGCGCGCAAACACAGAAGAAACTTACAGAATGCACCTGCTGGGGTTCAGAGAGCGAGGAGACGCTTTTCGGCTGTAAGTAGGACATGGCGTTTAGGCTGTGCTGGTTCGTATGAGAACCCCTTGAGACATCTGTAAGCATATTAGTAATAAGAGTGCAACAGCGGCTGCTGCTGCTGGTCCTACCACCACTACTGTTATTATTACTACTACGACGGCGACTACTATGAACAACAACCACCAGCAGCAACCTTGGAAGAACCCTCAGGGTGCGTTTGGGGTTTCCTCTCTGTGCCGGAGTGGTGCTTCCTCGACTTGCAAGCTTTGGACCCTGAACTCAGAACCCCGGGTTGGAATCATTGAAAAAGTATCCCTTCTAGTCCCTATGCAGTTGTACTCAAAGCAACACCCCCTGGCTACTGAGTGCGATTCCCAAGGTTGCAGCAATGGATCGTGATTGCCCAAGTTTCTGCAGCTGTCTGAAGTACCTCACACCACGTGCGGTTTGCACCCGCACTTGTGCCACAAAAATTGCTTTTAATTTGACGTTGTTTTAGCGCGTCGCTTTCGGAGAGTGGTTGAAGAGTCCCCTAATGTTTGAAATCTCGTCCAGGTTCTTTTGGTCCGGGGTTCCTTCAGTGGTGCCATCCAGAAGAAATCCCGCGAATAAGGAAGGTTTTTGTTGCGATTTAGGGCTCTACCTTGAGGGTGTGATGCTTTTTGGAAGTTTAAGGTTTAGGAAAGGCTTTGGTGAGTTGGGTTCTGCAAAGATGAGCCTTGGGTCACGAGTCCCGTGCCACAGTCCTGAAAGAGATCTGATGCTAAACCCTAAACCCTAAACCCTCAACTCTAAACCCCTAAACCCTAAACCCCTAAATGTCAGGATCGACGCTTGGGAGGCGAGCTCCACAGCACAGTTGACGACCAAAGCCGGTGCATCTCGGCATATTTTGCAGTGAGCAAAGTCTTTAGAGTGTGTTCCTTGGGGAGTAGGATTGGGGGACTAAGCCGGCTATATGTTGGGCTATAAGTTAGAAGATATCCGACTTGAAGTCGTCCCCCATCAAGATCCCATTTAAAATATACTATAATATACCATCGAACCCTAGTCTATGAGTATGAAGGCCCATATATGTGTTTATTGTATAGACATGCATGCATGTATGTATGATACGTACGGTTTGTATGGTATGTACAGTATGTGCGGTACGATAGTTGTATGCATATGTATATGTGTATGTATATGTATATGTTTGAATTTTTGTACACGTATATGCAGTTGTTTGTTTGTATGTATGTTTGTTTGTATGTATGCATGCATGTATGTATGTAAGTATGTAAGTATGTTTGTATATAGATGTATGCATATGCATATGCATACGTATCCGTACACATCTATAGATGTGTATCTTATGTGTATATGTACATAGGAACATTATATTCACATATATATATATATACTTCGGTCCAGCAGTGTAGTGACTGCTGTATCTTGATGCAGGTTTATCATGTAAAGACACACCACGGAGACGAGCAAGCACATGCCTTCCCTTCTCAGACCTTCATTGCAAACAGGGGCCTCCATGGAGGAGTAGTGTTTGGAGAGGTACAAGGTTTAGACGGTTTGGACATGGAGTTCGTAAGGTTCGGGTTTGAGCATGTAAAGCTTGCCTATCCGGCGGCGTTCTCGAAATCAGTGTCCCTTGTTCAAAGTGTCAGAAGGACCACTTAAATGGGCCCTGACTCAGAGAAGCCCTGCCCCCTCAGTTTACTGTTTACAGGTTTACTGTTTAGGCATAGCAGCACTGGTGATGCTGAGAATTGCCACCACTGCCCTACTTCGCGAAACTATATGAAGCCCTGCTTCCCAAGCGGCTCGGCAGTGACGTCCTACGAGCCAAAGGAGGTCCTACCTACAGTCAGGACCTTCAAATTAAATAAAGGGTCATACAAAAAGCGAAACATGTATCTGTATGTATGTATGTGTATATATATATATATACATACATACATATGGATGGCAGTTCGGAACTGCAGAAGAAGGGACCCTACTAAAAGTTTGGTTCTGATTCTACGATCTACGAACCCTCCAACATCAGATAAATGTAGAGGGTCCCATCTTATTAAGCCGCCTCAAGGTGAGATTGCCCTGATCGGCGCAGCCCAGAGCTCAGAGTCTGCTTGCAAATACATTTCAATCTAGGGTTCGGAATGGTCAGCACGAGTGTTGTTTTTTTTTGCTTGTGATAATGATACTACAATGTGCCCTAAGAACCTATTCATATCATTAAGGCCTCTGTATCAATTACAGGGGTTGTTGCGGTTTTAGGGTTTAAGGTTTGGGGTTTCGTATCAAAGGGCTTAGATGCCGGTTGCTCCTTTCAGTGGCTCAGGCTTGAGGGCTCGTTCTGTTCAGGGCTCAGAGCCGGGGCTCTAGTTTTGAAGACTCGGGTTTGTTGAGGTCAGGAGGGGTGGCCGAGCTGCCTTTCTGGCCCTATCTTCCATATTCGACGCCCCGAATAGGTTTAGGGTTCAGGGCCTTTTAGGGGCAAATAGGTTTAGGGTTTTTTAGGGGCAAATAGGTTTAGGGTCTTTTTAGGGTGTAGGGGAGCCTTTCTCTTTTACTCTCAGCATGTTTGGAAGCCTTCCAGGCGATGCTGTGGAGCTTCGTCAGCCTGCCCTAGACCCTGAACCCCAAAAGCTTCAGCCCTATGAACCCTGCAGCCTGTAAGCCTAATTTGTGAAGCCTGACCTTCCATGGAAAACCTGTGAGTTCTAACTATATGAACGGCCATGGCTGAAACATTTCTGATAACTGATAGCCCTGACCTTCAGTCTCTAATACAGAAGTCTGCACAATCACCATGATGATTCTGTGAGTATAGTACAAAAATGTATCATACGACCCTCGACCCTAAGGACTCTAATGTTTACCAATCTTTAAGACTCCTACCGGTTTCCGTAGAGCGGAAACCCAGGCTGGAGACCCAAACTCCGAAAGTGACGAGGCCAGGGCCTGTCTCAGAGGGGGAATCTGGGGGGATCTAGAGGTTTGTTTTTTTTGGGTTGAGGGTTTGGGTGATGGACATGGTTTAGGGTTCCGTGGGGTTTTGGAGGGTATGGGGGTTTTCTTCGGCATAGATCTAGGTACAAAAGTCTTGCAAAGCTTCTATGGGGGGCTCTATAAGGCTCCGGTAAGGGTTCTACAAGGTTGGTAAAGTTCCAGGGGTTTGTGGACTATGTGTTAGGGACTATCATGATCCTGCTAGTTAGGCTATGTACCTTGGGGTGCTGGCAGGGGTTCTTCTTATTCGTTTGTGGTTTTTTTTTGGTTTGTATTGGTTTCAACAACTCTGTGGTGCGGTTTTGTACTGCTTGCATGTGGTTGCACAATGTATTTATGGGGGGTTCGTGTATATTCACAGGTCTGAAGAATGCAGAGCAGTCTCTCAGGTTTGTCACGAGGTTGTAGAAAGGACCCGGGTAGGCCCTCGTCCTTTATCAGCTGTGGGAGGTGGACGGGCCTGTCCAGTCCTTTACTACTTGGAGAAATGTTTTCGGAGCTTGAGAAATATTGGGACCGTCCGGGAGCGTCGGACATTTGGAGGAGCTTCAAAGCTGTATTTGCAACTTCAAGGACAGGGTTGGGCCCCTCACTTTATCGGGCATGAGCAATTGAAACATGTGTTTTTGGCTATGTTTCCTTGCAGATCCTGCACTCAAAGAGCCTGTTGTCGAGGTTCCAAGGTCTAGAGCCCAGGTTCAAGGCTCCATCGATGCTTCTATAGCTTTCAAGTTCAGGATTCAGGGCTCTAGTTTCCATTTTCAGCTTTTGGGCTTGGATGTTCTTTGATCCGGTGGAATGGGTTTCGTGCCTTCGCACGTTTAGAATTCCTAGTTCAGGGTCCGCTCTCCGATTTCTAGTCAACGGCCCTCATTGGCAGGCGGCTGCTTTTTTCCAGGGCCTGAGCGACGAAAGCTTCTCAACGGAGGAGGAAAATTTGCCAGAGCCTTAAAGCTGCCGGCAATCTGAGAGTGCTCCTATGTCTGGCCCTCTTGCTATCTTGCGACGGAAGAAGAACATGGCATGTCTACGCTCAACCGTCGCCGCATTGGTGTTTTTCAAGCATGTGAAAGTTGCTCTTATGAGTAGCATAGCAATCTCTGACAATATCGCTTGATTAGGATGCGTGTCTATCGCTCCTAGAAGAACTTTTACTTGTGATGGCTTGTGGTTCCGGCTTGGTTTCGTGGCTTACCTCTTCTCGGGCTACATGCCTCGCAGGCGTTTGACGAGCGACACTTCTGTTTCCTCCGACAGCTAGAGTTCCGTTTATTACACGGAAGCTACGATTACCGTCTCGACCCCGAGCCCTGGCAAGCGCCAAACCCTGACTCCTCAAACCACCGAACCTAACCCTTGTAGAAGGCTTTGAAAAGGAGTAACCGCTCTAGTAAGACGCTTTTGTGCCGCTTTAGGGCCCTAGAAAGCCCTTTTCTCAGGCGTGACTCCATCTTCGACTTCTTGGCCGGCTGGCAAAAGGGCATGCAGAAAGCCAAGCTCTCCGAGCTGAGCCGGGGGCTCACTGTGGTTTTAGAGAGGGTTTCAAGTGGGGTCTCCAGGGGCTCATAGAGGCTGATACACGTTTTTTTTTTTTTTGTTCTGAGGGTTTCCTTCTTGAAATGCAAGACGGTGTCATAAAGCCATCGTTTCACACCAGTGTTTGGTGTTTTTCGGTGTTTACGGGGCTTATGAGCCAAGCCCAAGGTTCAGCCGGCTCGAGGATTCTCTAAAATGGGTCTGGTAAGGAGTCGGGCTTCAGGACTAGCAGGTGGTCTTCCGCGTTTGGGAGGTCCACACTGGCATAGCATGCTGGGTTCCACACTGGGGTTCACGGTTCGCGATGTGAGTATTTTTGGATGAGGCTTGTGAGCATCATGCCTAAGTGTATACCCACTAGAGCGGTAGGACCACTGTGGCCTTTTTGGCCACATCTTCCGATGCAACTGTGGCGCCTTGATTACTTGGCCCTACGACTTCCGACCCTCAGTCCTGCATTTTTTCCGCATCATGGTGATGAGGCGCAGATGCTCGGGTGCAGACTTGCGTTCGGGCCTTGCTGCCTGCATCAGTCTGCGGCTTAGTTTCCAGCCAGACGTGATTTCGCCACTCAGCCATGGAGAGAAGAAGATCCGGCTTCTCATCGAGCAGTTCTGACAATTATCAGCCTTGGCCTCGTGTCAGATATGCTCTGCATCTTTACGAGAGCGAGCATAACTTGAGCATAACTTTCGGCCTCCTCAGTCAAGCCGTGACGCCCAAACACCTTAAAGCGTTCGACCTTCAAGCCTCGAACCCTTTTCGTCCGTATAATATGATTCCGAGTACAAACTCTTGCAAACCCCCACCTAGTCGTCGACTAGGTGCCCTTTCCCCGCCCTCACGCGCCAAAACTTTGAGCAGGAAACTTGCCAAAACATTCCAAGGTTTCTCTGGCAGACTGGATGGAACGCCGGATCGGTGGAGAGATTGAGATTCACCAGGACTCTGCTTCTTGAGTTCAATCATTCCGAAAGGCATTTTGAAGGTCCGGCAGAGTCGTGGGCAAAGGCAAAAATCGGGTTGTAGTTTCCTTAGGCCGTAGGATGTATTTCGGCCCAAGGGTTCAGGATTTCAGCCTTATTCAGGATTCAGGCCTTAAGGTTCAAGATTTAGGCCCCAGGGTTCAGGATTTACCTTTACGGCTTCGAAGATAGGCCCCAGGGTTCTGGACTTCGGCCTTTGGGGTTTGGATTTCAGCCGTCGGGTTCAGGATGTAAGATCTCGGGTTTAGGATTTGGGCCGTAGGTTGCCCTGCGGTTCAGGATTCAAGCCTCAGGCTCAGGATTTTGCCCGTAGGGTTTAGGAAGGTCAGGATTTAAGCTTAGGGTTTTTGGGAATTTAGGATTTTGGCCTCAGGTGGGAAACGATCCCGTACCAGATCGGCTCCTGAAGTCTATTAAACGACGTCGTAGGCCTTAGGGTTTAGGACTTACACTAGGGTTCAGGATTGAAGCCTTGGAGCTTAAGAGTTTGAGCCCGAGGGTTCTGGATTTCTTTAAGCTTTAGGGTTTAGGATTTAAGCTCTAAGGTTTCATATACATGAACAAATTTCCTAATATTATGGGATTCTGTGGGTGGGTGGGGTGATTTCAGCGAGCTCGACTGGAAACTGCTGAATCCTAGGCCCAGACCCTAAACCCCAGACCCTGAA